TGTAATGTTTACTGATAATGTGCCAAATTTCGTTAACATTCACTACTATTTTAAAAGTTATAGCATGAAAACTATAATGAGCACTAAATGGTTATGTGGTCAGTCCCAGGGATGTTCGCAGGCTATTACACCTTTCTTCACATTTGATTTGTCACCTTTCTCATTCTTTTCTTTTCCATCTTTGCTGGCCCAAAGATGAGATCCTAATTGCAGGCATATGGACAACTCCCCACATAATCGTCACTTCTCATCACCATCTGGTTTTTCATCTCCTGTAGGATTTTAACTTCTAACAGTTGGCATACTTCAATCCACTCACCATTAGTGTTGTATGTCTTGGACTATTTGAATCTCAATGTTTTACACATCTCGAAAAATGAGACCAGATAAATTTAAATGTTTTACCAGCATTTAAATATATCCAGGATTATTAAGCACTAAATATCAATTACACAGCAGTTCATACAAGTTACGGTGTAGCATCAAAGATGTTTCGTTAGTAAAACCCCTTGGTACTACACATTTGCAATGAAGTTTATAGCACCTCTCTTATTTTTGTTTAAATCACAATCTGCCATATTACCTGTACGTCAATCCGCAGTTATAACATACAGTATTCAAAAATAATTATGCATAAGCTTACTACAGGTTTGTATGAACTTCATCTGGTGCACGTATTTATGTTAAATGTCAGCAATTATCCCTGATATTTAATGTCTTTTAGAAATGCTGTGATCCTGTTCAGCTTCAAAGATCATTAAGAGTTCACTGACACTATAAACTCTTGAAATTCAAACAGTTTTTCTTTTGTTTTATTTGCTGATCTTTTTGATTTTTTTAATTCATTAATTATTTTCTATTTATTTATTTATTTTTCATAGAGACGTTAACTCTTTCAGTACAAGCTTGATCTGTGGGACTGACCTCATAACCATTTTGTTTGATATAGTTTTCAAGCCATAACTTTTAAAGTAATAAGTGTATCTTCACAAAATTTTGCAGATTATCAGTAAACAGTCCTTTATATGCAAAATATCAGATTTTTTATAAAGTTCTAAGTAATGTTTTTCTCATGATTTTTTTGACAATCCAACATGCAAGAAATTTTTATTTTAAGATTAAAAATACTTTTATGCATTAGAAAATTTTCAAATTTCACAACATTTCTTAAAAAAAAGTATTTTATCTGTTATTTTCACTAATGAATCTCTGTACAGGTTTGGTTGATTCGACTGAAATCATAACCACCATAAAAAATTAGGATAAAAAAAAATATATATATATATATAAATTATGCATTTTTGTTCTTGAATGACTACAGATTATAGCACGAAAACACAAGTGTTTAGTCTAAATAGCTTAAATCTCATAACAATATAAATTTATATATATATTATTTTTATTATATTGACCTTCCAGCTGTGTCTGGCTAACATTACTGAAGTTGCAATGACGTGGCACATGTGCACTCACGTTACTATCTAAGAATATAAAGCTGGCTTTTAGGCTTTACAAAGCGACCTGTCTTTGCTGTGTTTTAGTGGACTAGTATTTTGTAAAATACAGTCACATTTTCATTATTATATATTATATATTTATATAGATTATTACTATTTACACATAAGTTCTTACTTATTTTTCTTAAAACATAGAACAGTGAATAAAGAAGTATAGCAAACAATTATCTCTTCTAATTACGACTTTTGTACTTAGTAGTACTTGCTGTAGGTTGCTTGGCCTTATTAAATTTCACATGAGGAGGATGTGAAATGAAATAATTTTTTTAGATTTTATATATACATTTGAAATAACCAAAAAATCATAAATTATCTATATGGATGCCATAGAATTCCACTCTTCATTTATCAAGCTTAGTAACTAAGCTTGATTTGAGTCTAAAAAATATATGAAATTTTGAGCAGACTAAAGACTCACCTTATCAACTTGAAGTCTTGTATCAGAAGAACAAGTTTGATGTTGTAATACTTGAAAATGGCTGAGAAAGCCACTAGGGGGACATTCTGAGCTGTCAATTGGTTATTCACATGTCATAGACAGATGTAAGTTTATAGAAAGAAGTGTTTCCAAAGTTGGAAAGAGGTGGTCAGGGCCGCTGTGTTTAATTCAGCAAATGTGGTGATATCTCGGCAAATAGAAAGGATAGGATGTTCTTATTTTATATTCTATCTTGTAAGTCTGGGTAATTTGAGTTCCTAATTCATATGAAAGTAGACTTATTCGAAACAGTGTTGCATTCAACATATTATGTGAGGCACAAAAAATCGATACTTAAGTATGTTTTTTTAGTATTTAATTTTAATAAATTAACTAATATATAATACTAAAAATTAAATTATAATCTACAATTTGATACCAAACTTACTGGCATAAATTCATAAAATAGTAGTTCAATAAAAATTTTAATGCAAGTCAAAAATGCGATGATATGGCCTTTGACCCATGACCTGTGTCAATAGGGTTAAAACATACTGTGGGGTTAACGTGTAAAAGATTTGCGGTTAAGATGCTAATAAAGTTTGTTTGGAATAGGTGATTTTTATTCTTATTGCTTTTTTTTTCATTGCATAATTTCTTACAAGGTATCAGTCTCAAACCTTCATATCTTTGACTCTGAGGTCTCGGCTACAACACTGCCCACCGTATTTGAAATAGTTATATATGCATGTGTGTTTCTCTTTTCATTTCTTTCTCTTTCTATTGAAAATGATACTGCCAGGTGGCTGGTCTTGCCTGTTAAGGGTATGCTTGTTTTCCAAAATCTGCATCAAGCCAGTATAATGGAAAGTGCTTAAACCATCTGCCCTGGCTCTTCTAGTGTTGACTGTGAGATAGGGTGTTTTGCAAGATCACTTGTGGTGTACAGATTTACTCAGTTGTCTGAGTAAAGACTATACCAATTCTATGGAAAAAGCTAACACTAGAAATGCGACTCTCTACTTCTTTGACTCGTGCTTGTTAGCTTTTAAAAATAAAAGATTTGCACCTATTGGACTATCTCCAGTAAAAGACCTGGTTGGTGGTCCAGTGGTGATCTGGGCACTTTTTTGGATCTCTCCAGTCTGAATTCTTCTCTCCTCTTCTTCAAATGGAGTCTCTGAGGTGGACCATGGAAAATTCTCTCTGGTTAGGCTTAGTGCAATACAATGAGAAGTGGGATGATGGTGACAGTGTCATTCTAGTATAGCTCACCCCTTATAAACATAATACATAACTAATATGCTTTTCTCCAGCAGTCAAAGCCTGTTCAGTAGAGTCCCGGGAGCACACACCGTATGGTCTGATTGCGTCCCAACCCTGGTCAAGACGAAAGCGATCTCCCACAGATTTGCCCCTATTGAGCCCCTGCCATCGGGTGTCACACTCTGTGGGATTTTTTGTTGTGAGCTCATCTAGATTTTAAATATTTTGCAACCAGCCCCTCCACCGTTTTAGTGTGGGATTTTAATAGTTATGTGTGAGAGGTGATTTATTGTCTGAGAAATTAACATTTTCTTAATTTGAAAATGTATTTATGATCAACAATTACCTCTTCACACATTCTTACCCATCCTCTCCACTTCCAGTGCATATTTTTTTGTATTGTTTTGTCAAAAAATGACATTACCACAAGTGCAAGATCATAGTAGTTTTTTACTGTGCATGGAGGCTGAGTCGCCCTGTTATTTGTGGAGGGTTTTTGCCACATGATGATGTCATCATGCACTAGCACAGTTCATGTTAAACATGAGAATTTAGGTGGTAGCTAATGGGATGCAAGTCTGTCAGGCAGAAATGTGAGGAAAATAGCAATTCTGTGTGTGGAGGTATCTATTGGAAATACATTTTCAGATTAGGAAAATGTTAATCTTAAGTTTTGAGTGTAACTCTGTAAATAGTGTTTTAATTAATTTCATTTCTGTTTTTCCTTGAAAAATAAATTTTTTTTAATCATGTTGGTTCTGGATTGAATCCATGGGCACTTTAATATAAAGAATGATCTGACATAAAAAATGATAATGAAGGGGTTAAATCTGTATGGGTTACAATCAGTGGTTTCAAGGATGGGAGTTATTATTTGGCAGCTGTTATAGACCACCTGAGAGGTGAAGTACATGAGCATATAGGAATGATGATGCAAATGTATGGTATGAGAGAGAGAGATTTATTGAAGTGATTTTGGATGGTTTTCTATACGAAATGGTCAAAGCTAACCAGGAGATGTGCAGTTTAGATTTATTATTAATGACATTTGAGAAAATGTAAACATTGCATAATCAAGCTTGGCGTTTTACTACAGGTTGAGATAACAATAACTGAAATTTATTTTATAATTTGTAGAAATCTGAAGTTGAGCCCAGGAGACATTTATCATTTGTGAATTGGAATAGAAATGATGTGGGAGATATTTGTGAAGTTTTAAAAAAAATAAGTTTAAAGTTGCTATTACTACAAGATGGCAAGTTTCTAAAAATGTAAATATACTAGCTGTAGGAGTTTGTTTTTATTTAATAGCAAACACAAGTAATGAAGCTAGTGATTAGTAAACATTTTTGCTTCATGAAACGAAAGATTAAAAATGTAAAACTTTCATCATTGAAATGCCATTGGCAGCTTTAAAACATTAAAAAAATCAATGATTTATGGAAATGTCTCAAACCTTTTTTTTTCAATTTTTTTATGTACAGTATTTATTCGTCACTGTAGTAAACAATTAACACATGCTGGGAACTTTCTGAATGACAATAGTGCAAGATAGCATTAAGATCTGTGAAAAGCCTTATTGAAAACATTATATTTGTTAGTAAATAATTGCTGGTATTTCTTTTGAGACAAGAAGCATTGTTATAAACAGGCCAAACCTCTAGTGCTCAATAATGTTGGTTTATTCTTATGCCTGAATTATTGTATATTTTCTCTGCAGTTAAGTCTTCTTAAGGTTTTAATGACTTTGTAAATATGTTCTAGTAAAATGCAGGGTGAAATTTTTTTTATATATATAGGGTACAAGTGCTGAGCAGGACAATCGGTTCAGCAACAAACAGAAGAAATTATTAAGGCAATTAAAGTTCCATGAAATCTTAGAAAAAAAGGTAAGGTTGGCACAGAAAATTTTATTTTTTTAGTTTTTTTCATTTTAAATCTGAATTATAATTTTCAGTTACATCCAGTCATTTAAATGTACTATAGGTTTTGTTTTTAAGAGTATATGGTCAGTGTCTTAGTTTTATAGTTTACATAATTGTGAATGTAGGGTTTTAGAGATTCTAATTTAAGAATTTTTTCAATAATTTCAGTACCATGTTATAGAAAATGAACCTTGAATAGTACATTGACTAGTTTTACATTCATCTTTTAGGTGGACATGGGAAAAGTGAACTTAGATATCATTAAACCATGGATCACTAAAAAAAATCACCAGCTTGCTTGGTATAGAAGATGATGTGATTATAGATTTTATCTTCAATCAACTTGACGGCGAGAAGGTAAAGTGAATCAATCGTTGTAGGAATAACTTTGAGATTTCATTTGTCCATTAGCCTGTGAAAGGGGTGTATTATTGTTGGTGTATGATTGTCTCCAAATATATCGAACCTAACTTGGTTCTCTTTCAGGAACTCGATGGTTTTCTTACAGATTTTGAGTGAATAGTGCGCTGCGAAGTTTAATGTGCTCTACAGACATCACCCATGGTAAGGTTGATATGGAAGTTTACAGAGTTTTTACTGTTATATGCTTTGAGCAAAGAAAAACTGTAAATGCTTGCGCTGCTTGTTTTCTTTTTTGCTTAGTCTCATTGTTTGACATTTCATTTCCCACAAATAGATGTTATAAAATCAAAAAGACTTCAATGAATGATTGTCAAACTTGTGAAAGGCCTGGGCTTCTCGTTTCTCACCAGCCTGCCCCACACCAAGGATACTACAGACCATCTTTCCAACGTTCTTAGCTTTCCTCTCCTTTTTTGATTTGATGGGAAGCAACTATTAACAGCCTTAAAGGCTTCTTTAAAACAAAATAGGTGAGTTTTATGGATTACTGCAACAGTAACTTCGTTGATTTGTTTTTCCAGAATTCATCTTTTTCAAATAAAAAAAAATTGAAACACCTACCTATTTACTCATTAGTTTAAATGAAAGAATATTGCACTACATACACTTAAATAAACGATTATGTTGTATATAATTAATTCTGAACAGCTTCAAGTAATAAAAGTAGCTGCCAATTTTATACTTTTGACATCTATAATAATGTGAAACATCATTTTTCAGTTCAAAAACTCCTATGGGTACAAAACACTAATCTTTATTTGTTTCAAACTTAAATTATTGAAACATTGCATCATCATCATCATGAGTTTTTTGATAAGAAGAAAAATTCACTCTTATGTAAAGGTAAGTTATACATATATGTTTAATATACCTTTTCAAGCATATTACTTGCATAACTTACTGTGTTAGCAGATCGCATGTATTTGTAAATGGTGCATTTTTGCTCATCCAACGTCACGGTTGTCCATGTAACATGACCAGCAATTTCTGCTGGTGAGATGGTACACATGAATTTGAGGACTGTTTTATACACAGCCTTTAAAGAATAACTGAAATCATACATTTACTTCTTAGATATACCTTTCAAATTATTGAACATCAAAATTGAGGACGGGTATTTATTTTGGAATAGACACTTGAAACAAGTAAAGAGTATGAATATATATCAGATAATTCTATAATGTAGTAAAGTGAACAACAACAACAACAAAAAAAAAGTTGTCAAAATATAGTTCCAAAACCAGGTACTTTTTTACATAGAAACACCCACATAGAGCAGCTTAGCAGGATAAAATATTGCATTGTCTTCTTATTCACTTTTCATTCTTGTATCATCAGAAATAGGCAATCTCCTTTTTGGTCTTTGAAGGACTTTTTGCATGCTGCTAGAAAATGTTACTTGCTTCTTTAATTAACCCATGAGAAAACTAGTATTTAATGGGCATATTTAACAATAGTTTATTTCATGTTTTGTATTTGATTTCATTGTTGATATGCTTTTTTCAAAGAAAAGATTAAATGAGAAAATTGCAGAACAAGTCTCAGTCTCAGTTTACTTTATTTACTTCTTTGAGATGCAAGTGATAATTAGATATAAGCATGGCTTTGACCCAAGCTTTTAGGTGCATGACAGTTGATGTTATGCAGATATTCCATACAGTATTTTAAAGTAACATGTTTCTCTTTTGTTATTTGAAAGTTAGGAAAGGTAGATAAGCTTATAAATAGGTCATAAGCTTTTGAGTAGCATAATTAGTTTTGTACTTTATATGATAGAAATAAGTTTGTATGTTACCTTGTAAAAAGAGAATAAATAACAAACTAAGTAAAGCATTTTGTTTTGACTTTATGCTTATCACTAATATATTTAATAGCAAGTTCCACCTGAATTTCTTTGCTTACTTTGAGTAATTAGTTATTAAACTGATAAACTTCTCCATCCTCCAGTTCTGTTATTTTTGAGCCCAATAAGAGAATTTTGGCATATTGATACTATAAATGTGTGTCTGTGATACTCTGCCTATATGTTTCTTGTAATTATAGTAATGTACTGGTTAGGCAAAACAAGATACAACCAGAAGTGTACCTAAGTAATCATTTAGGATGAAAAGTAAATGGGTAGAATAATATCTGTGTGTGTGTTCTGCTTACTTTTGTATTAAGGTACTAAAAAATTACTTAAAAGTCTTGACTATGAACTCTGAATTATTAAAAATATTACACCAATAAGTAAACAGTGTGGATGGAGACTTGTACTTTTGGAATTTAATTTTAATATTATTAACCCTTTCTGGACCAGTGAGCACCTTTCAGGTGTGAATTGCACATCTACATTTCAAATTTAAAATTTTGAGTAAAAATAATTCTACTAATTCAAGAATTTTTTACTCAAATATATTTTAGAAATTATTTTTTTCCATCTTGTGATCTTTATTTGGTGTAATTTGTAAAGAAAAATGTAAAAAAATAGATTCAAACTTATACTTCTGCCTAGCTCCAAAGAGTCTTGTCCATAAACAGCACACATACAATTTCAAAGAAATTTTCTATTCATCCTAAAGCATCGTAAAAAACTATCAGCTTTTGAAAATACAAATAACCAAGATGTGGTGTTTCTTATCTGTATTACAGTTTATTATTGCATGCAAGGAAATCTTAAAAAAATGGGAACAACTATTAATGAAGAACAGCCTTCAAAATAGTTACAGGCAAAGTTTAAATGCCATTGGATTGAGCATATTATAAACTATTAGCATCATTGTAAAGTTAATAAAGTGTTTTTATAAGTTATGTGTGGTTTTGTAAGAATGTGATTAGATGTAGCTATAGCAGAAAAGAATAATGGAATCTAGTGGAAAGCTTAGAAGACTTAGGGAACAAACCACGGATCTAATAAATATTTTATAACTTTTTTAGTCGTTCTTGTTGTTCCAGAATTTTTTTATAATAAATTGTACTTGTTTGAATGTCATGACAATTTTCTTCTATTAAAAGACATCAGGTAAGCCTTATTAGGTTTAAGGAGTATGGTAGCAACAGCAAAATATTCTAGCTACTGAAGTGTGACTCACATCTATTTATTGAATATCATTCTTAAGTTTATTGTATTCAAAAAACATGCAGAAGTAAAATAACTTATAATTATTGAAAGCAAAGTGCATATGTTTGATACCATTTTGAAAGGTTGTCTGAGTTCACTGATAAATCTTTCTATCTTACACAGTTTGATAGTGTTAACTACTGCAATGGGAAAATAAAGTTTCAAAAGAAATGTGTTAAGGAAAATTAATTCTTGAAATTGACTGGATATATAAAATGGAACTTTCTGATTAAAAAAATCTAAACTCTTTTAAAGGAAAGGAAGTTTTAATGCTTTTTTTTTTTCAAAAGAATTGTCTACAAAATTTTGAAAATTTTAAGACTTAACTTATAGAAAACTAAATTAAATTGTATAAATTGTTTAAACTTAAACCAAATAATATTTAGAAAGTTTGTGCTAAGGTTCATATAGTTTGGTTAGAAATTTACACTATAAAAAGGGAAAAATCAAGGGATTTCACACTCCAGTCCAGAAAGGGTTAATCAATTGAGCTTCTTATTGGTATGAATAATATGAAAGTGATATATGATATCTAGTAAAAGTATTGAAATTGAAGCCTTTTTCTTTCTGTTCCTGTCTCTTTCAAACATTTTTGGAAACTGAAAGCTATATAGCTTTTCTGAACATTTCTAGGTATCTACTATTTTGTTGTAAAAAACAAACTTTATCAAGAAAAAAACCTCTATATAGAATTTGGTGATCAACATATATTCATCAGAATAAGTTATAAGCTAGTTAATTAGCCAACTGATTAAATAGTTTTAAGTAAACAAAGGAAGCAAGTTGCAGGTTTCTCTTCAGAAAACTGAATTTGTAGTTAGGACAGCCAGAGTAAAAGCTATTGATTACATTTATAAGTTTATAACTGAAACATAAGTACACATTCCATATTTAAATGTTCTTTTTTCATGGAGAGAAGGAACTACTATAAAACAAAGTACTAGTGAGACTTTGTAACTTTTTCATTGTTTATTTACTTCATATATGTACAGTAGTCATGGTACGAGTTGTATTCATTGTGCAATGTTTGTTCTTCAGATGTTCTCATGCTTTTCACTGTAATATCCTGATATGAGAAACTGGATACAAGTTTAATTGCTTTAAGGTTACTGGTAATTTTATACAGGTTTGAATAGGTCTGAGAAGTAAAATATACAGTAAGTGTGTTGGGACTGTGAATATATTTTTTTATGAAATTCATGCCTTGCTTGAGGCAGTCATAACTCTTCTAAGACTTTTCCTTACCTGGAACAAGCAGAATATGTCAAGATATTGACTAGAGATCTTAAATTTAATTATTATTTATGTAGTAATACTAGAGCAGTTTAACTTACAAAATTGATAAATTTTATTTCTTTTTTTAAATTTCAGTTTTTTAATTTACAAAATACTATTGTTATTGTCTCAAAATACAAAAATAATTGTTTTGGAAAACTTCAATAACGTAAGACACATATGAAGAGTTTGCTTAAAAGGGTAACACAAATACATTCTTGTGAACTATGTTTAGTGATAAACATGCTGAAGCATGAAATGCTGTAGTTTATAAAGTGTGAATAAACTTTATGCAATTATAAATGAGGTGTTATGCATCTGTATTGTGAAGTTTTATTACAAATTCTTCTTAGTAGTTTAATTTCCACTATTTAAATAATTTTTGTATTAATTAGTTATGTAGCTATGCACTAATTAAAATTTTTTTTTTGTACCAAGCAACATTAAAACAACATAAATGTATGTAATTGATCAGTTATAAGAACAACTTATTATCTTACTTGACTAGGTTGTTAGGTTTTTTCTTTCTTTCAACTTAAAAACAGATTTTATTTTAGTCGGTAGTAATTAATTTGAGCAATATAAAGTTTCCAGGCTGTTGGAAACACATTTATTGATATTAAAAAGACACTATGTGGTAGTGTTTAAATTGTGTGGTACACTGAGATTTTAATTAGGTTGCTTCAAAAACATTTAAATTTTTAATGAAAGTAAAAGATTAGTTGTTTGAATTGTTTATAAACCCTTCTATATTATGAACTCTAAGAAACATTACATCATGTTAATATATACAGATTATATTATATGCAAGTTGCATATATTTTAATCGTACTAATGCTTTAATTTTTTTTGGTTCATCCATATGGATGTTGTTCTAGCTTTTTTCTTGCTTAAGAATTTGATTTCATGTAAGGTATAGTTTTGTGTCTGTGACTTATACAATTTTGGTTCAGTCTTCTAGGTGGGTCTTAACATGGTGAGTGTCCAGACAGTGGTGGTCCAGCAGTAATGGTAAACCTTGTGTAACAGAAGAAATAACAGGAAACCTGAGCACAAGTGGTTTACTAGAATGATTGTAGAATGATTTAAGGAAGCTTAGGTTATGTAGTTTGTCAGCCTCATAGATTTTAGGTGTGAATGCATACATACAAGTACAATTGTTGAAAATGGCTGCAAAAAAAGGCATAATATACATTTTAAGTATCTTCAAACTGTTATTGTTTTATGCATTATTTTTTATTGACGTTGTATTTTGCTTTAGTGGTAAATTCATACTAAAGGGTTTTTATGCTTGACAGGTTTTGATATTGTGAAGACTAAAAATTATTGTTCTTTAACAAACCATTGACAATAATGGTTAAGCAGTCAAACCTGATTTATTAAGTTTAAAACTAGGTCTGTATGTTGTAAACTTAAATCAACTTCTTTAAATATAGATAAATCCACTTGTTTAAAACTTGTCCGTTAATATTGTGATGCATGTTTTTAACTTTGATTTTATAAATAAATGTATGGTTTGGGTATATTTTTCTTCAACATTATAACAAAATGTTTCAATCTGGTTTATATACTTCAGACGAGTTAGGTATAAAATATTTCAATTCTTAAATTTATTATTAAATTCCTGCTCTTTCAAATGGGATGTTAAGTAGTTATACAATGAGTATTAGGTAGTTTTACAAATAGTGATAGGTAATTCTACAACAATTTTTATGACTACAGTTGTTAGGTAGTTCCACAGTCAGTGATAAATAGTTTCAAAACAGGTATATGGTCAGTGATAGGTACTTCTGTAACAGTTAATGCATAATTCTTCAAACAATGACAAGTTGTTCTAAATTTGGTGTTCATAACTCTGTGATATGTTTAAAAATCAATTAATAAGGAAAAATATTTTCTGAGGTATTTTGAAAAATTTATTCATTGCTATTGTGCAAGTTTTTATCTTTTTGAAATGTCTAAATTTTCAGTACTATTAATTTTCACTGGTGAATTGACTTGAAACTTAACATGTGTCTTGTTATTAGCTTACTGTAAAATTGCAATGCGATTTCTTTAAAAAAATTAGTAATTTGGAAAATTCCTACAGTTATGAGTAATTTAAATTCTGACATTTAAAAACACTATGTAGTTTTATAATGCTTGTATGTAACTTTCAACCATGGACAGTCAGTTACTGTCATAAAAAAATTCAGGATTAGTAATTATTTAGACTTCGAGTAACATGATCATGTGTGAGCTTCTACATTATCCATACACTTCCTGCATAAGCCTTTCACTGTGTAAAAAAAAACACTATAGTATTTTATTATTTGATACAAGACAGGAGGTTGGTTATGTTACAGGTTATGTGGGACAGGTCAGTTTATAGAGATATAGTAGTATAAGCTAGATTTAGGTGGCATGTTCATCATCATCAGTACTCAGCTGGTTTTCTTCCTGTCTTTCACTTTATTTTTATAGTATCCAGATGCTAAAACTATGCAGATCAACCTGACTGGATTTCTGAATGGAAAAAATGCTCGTGAGTTTATGGGGGAGTTGTGGACACTTCTCTTGAGTGCTGAAGAAAACATTGGTGGTATTCCAGCTGAATTCCTAGAGCAAAAGAAAGAAGAGATTAAGAAAAGACAGGTTGGTGGTGTTCTAAATTGCTAGAGTTACATGTAATAGATTTTAAAGTTTATTATTAAAATGTTGTATGAAAGGAATTGTTAATCAGTATTTCAAATGTAATACATTCCCTATAATTCATTCTCAGTGAGACCTAGTGGTTAGGGTGACACTGTGGATCTGATAATTCTTGACACCTAAATTGCACTCTGCACATTGAGGTTATGGGTGCATTATAAGAGTGATGTTCAACTCCCATTATTTAATCTGGTATGAGTAGCCCAAGAGTGCAATGGATGGTGTTGAATAGTGACCAGCTGCATTCCCTCTATCACTTCAAAGTTAGGGACATTTAACACAGATAGCCCTTGAGTAGTTTTGTGTGAAATTCAATAAACTTGTATAATTCTGAAACAAATTCTGTCAGGCTACTTTTCTGAATGCTTTGACCCTTTGACTGCTTTAAATGCATGCATAATTTTAATGAGCAGTACACTGTATTTAGCACACTCGCATTCAACTGTCAGAAGTGGACTGTACCCTACATGATGAATCAGCAGTCAATGCATTAACTCCCTGAATTTGGGTGGGTAAAAGTGTGCATGTCCAAACCTTTTTACTAAGTTATATTCAGAATTTAAATTTGTTATCAATGGATGTCAGTAAACTTGTTTATAATTTAAATTTTGATATTATACAAGTTTTAATTTCAAAAGAAAGTTTAATAGATATTCACTTCACTGCTTCACATGATGCTTATTCACTCAGAATTGCCCATTTTGATTTTTTTTCTACCCCTATTTGATCTTTTGTGTTTGACACCAGTTGCATAATTATAGATATTGATCAGCCATAGTATAAATCTATAGTTCCCAAGCTTCTTGCTTTACTGAGATATAAACAAGAAAGTCAAACCCACAACTACATCCTTTCTGTCTCATCCTGTATTTCAAAAAATGTCAGTTCTCTCTGACATTTGCTATTGGATTATTTATAACCAATAGAAAGAAAATATTTTGTTTTACAAAATTCGTTATGAGGCTAGTTTGTTGAGGTGCTAGGTTTGTAAATATTTAGCAACAGTTTTATTGTTTGCATCTGTGGTGTTCAACTAAACCAGCTGATGTTTTTGTTAACTTTTTTACAGCTTAATTAGAAAGCCAGTTAAATTATAGTGATTTTAGAAAATTGTTTTTTTTTGTATGTGTATGATAGCATTTTGTGTTCTAAATTGCATATTTGTGATAAAAAAAAAGTTTTGAACCACCAACACCATTACAAATAAGTAGGCCTATAGTGCTTCATCTGTTAATAAGAAAAAGATGAGTCCACAAGTAAGTACTAAATCTCTTGGTTTTGGGGTATTTTTATTTATTATCTTGAAAGTAAAGAAAATGTAAAAATTAAAAGTTTATTAGGTTAGATAAGAAAACTTAAATGAAAAAAAACTAGATAAAAATATTTTTGATACTTTCTATCATAGCATGTGCACATCACGAAGTATGATTGTAATTTATGGTGTGCTTGTAATTTGGTTGTTTGTTTATCAAAAGCTGTCCATGATAAATGTTTTTTGGCTTTCGAAGTGTAGCCATGTAGCAATAATAGTAAAAGAATCTAGATTTGAAGAGTCTTATTAGCATTGACTGTGAGATTAAGTTATGTGTAATTGTCTTCTTACAATAATTGCCCCCCAGTTGCACAGCCGTATTTCTGCAGACTTAACAATGCCAGAAACCAGGTTTCGATACGTGTGGTGGGCAGAACACAGATAGCCCATTGTGTAGCTTTGTGACTAATTACAAACAAACTTACAATAATGCAGTCATTCTTGAAAGAAAAAAATGGTAGTTTAGATTTAATTCATATTTTGCTACTGTCAATGGTAAGGTAGAAAAAAATAATAGATAAAATATAAAGTTGTACTGAAAAAGTTTTTGATATTCATTTAGTAGGTTCTAGAAATTATGAAAATGAAATAGAAAAACTGTAAAATGAAAAAAGTGTTTTTATTCTTAACATGAAAATCATCTTGCACTCAAACTAATCAGGGTGCAAGTCTAACTGACTCCTTAAATTTACAAAAAAATACTTTATTAGAAAATATGATTTGTTTTTTAGTATGCAACAGATTTGCCTACTAAAAGCTTGCCAAATTTTGTGAAGATACTCATAGTTCATTCAGTTATTGTATGTATAGTTTTGTGGTAGCAAGGTTATTCAAAGTGACCAAGTCTGTATTCAGAGAGTTAATCAGATTAAATTTATTAAGTTCAAACAATAGCTTTATTTTAAGGAATTCAAAAATGGCTAAAAACAGAGTTGAAAATAAATAATGATAAAAGTTACTGTGGTTTGTCACTGAACTGATACAGAAACACTAAGCAGAAAATATAGTAAGGCAAGAAGTACTACACTTGTAAGGTACGTGTCATTATGGCACTACAAAGAGGCAGTTATTTTGCAAGAATTCAAGGAACATAAATCCAAGTGAAAGATGGCTTATTATTCAACATCCCCAAATGTAATTATAGTAATTATGTAGAGGAAATGAATGTTTTTGTAAGTCTGTGTTAGACACTAAATAGTTTTCATAGTGTAAAGACAGAAATCTAGTTCCTTTAAAACATACATAAAAATACTGATATTTATATAGATGAGTAGAAAATATTGAGTGCAAGTGGCTGAATGAAGGACACATTTATTGAAGTTATTTGAACAATTGTTAATAGACTCATTGAAACAAAATTGTTTTGAATACTTGGTCATCTTGAACTTGTCTTTTTCTATCAAAACAAGATAACATATAGTCTAATGCTAAAATTTATAACTTAGGACAAAAAATATCTAATGTTTATTCTCATTTAGCTGACAGTTGCCAAGAATTTGGTCAAGAACATAACTTTTTATCCCTGACAGGTTAAGAAACCAGATTTCTATAACTCTCCATTGTTAACGCTCTATTTGTTCAGTTTAGTTTGGTAGTGCACAGTTGTTAATTATGTCTATTTAACCCTAAGCCAATGGTCAGTTTGACTGACCTTGTAAAACCATTAAGCTATACATGCTATATTTCTGAATGTACTATATATGTATCTTCACAAAAATCTGGCAAGCTTTTAGTAAACATTACATGTCCATTATACACAAAAAAATCAGAATTTTTAATTAAGTATTTATAATAAATACCTTTCTATGAATTTCCAAATCCTTTACTCAGTATGAGTGCAAAGCGATTTTCATGCTAAGAATAAGAAAAATTATTTTCATCTCAGTTTTCCTATTTAATTTGCTTAACCCTTTCGACATGGGCACCCCTTTAAAATTTAATCTGTGCAAGTCGCTGAATTACTTTCAAAATTTAATTAAATGACTTAAACAAGTTCAAATTATAACATACACTATAATGTTAATTTCACTGACATACATTGGTAGTGTATTTTATAATTCAAAGTTTTATATTATCTATATTTTAATTCCTTTATTTCAAGAGAAACCAATAGAAAAATACATAAACTTCAGTTTTGTTGTCAAGTGATGCATGAGTGTTCATAAATCTGAACTTTCACAATCTCTAATTTGAACCAGAAAACTACATTTATGGTGCTATTTACATGTATGTTCCAAAGTTCTTTGGCTGAGATTAGTTGTAATAAGAGAAATTCTTCCTGTGAACCCCTGACAGATTCCATACCCACCTTCTATGATTGCCTTGAGATTTACATGTACTTATTTAATGCACATGTTTATAACCATTAGAGAGAGCTCATATTACACTATAATCCAACAATAGTTATTTTGAAATTTGAGCTCGTTTGTCGTCATTGGGTAGATGTAACTGGCATATTTCTTAACTAACTATGTTATTGTTAGAGAGATAGTTAAATTGGATTTAGGTTTTGCATTTATATTTTAGTTAATGATGTATTATTTATATTTTAAAATGCATAATTGACAGGTTTTAACATTTTTTAAATACACCTCAAACTTTGCCTTGGTTCTCAAGGTTTATGGTATTGAGTGCATGAAAATTATATACATTTCATTGCACTGTATGTTGGTGATAATATCTACAGTTAGTGATATGGTAGAGAAAATAAAATATAAAAATTTACCTTAAAACTTCTGATATTGATTTAGGAGATTCTACAGGTTATGCAAATAACTTAAAATGAAAATTACCTTCAACTATTCAGAGTTGAGTGCAAATAACTTTTTATTAGAAAGATTTAATTTAAATAATGTCATTCTTTCTATACAAGGTATGCATAATCTCCAAGAAAATCTTATTAGATCTTATGAGGAAATGTTAATAAAGCATAGAGTTACTGTATGTGTTGTTGCACATGTAACCTTTCCAAGATGAGCTCCTGCAAATTGCAGGAGCCTGTTGTAAAAGGGTTAATGTCTAGAGCTTCTTAAGTGAATATCAAAAGTTTTTGAAGTTAAACTTTATTTTTTATCTATTTTTCTCTATCTTAATACTAACTATAACTTAATCATCAATGCACAGTGAAATGAAAATTTGAAAATTATGAAATAAAATAAATAATATCATTTTTTTCCTTCTTGGAATGCATCATTTTCTGCCACATACTTGTGATATTCACAGTTTCAGTGTTAACCTTTTCACATCTATTTTCTTTCAATTTGATAGTTTTATTATCTGGCTTGTACCATATAAGTAGTTTATTCAGCTGTGGAATGCAATACATCAAAGTGGAAATGCATTGCATTAGCAGATTCTTGTACAGCAGTGTACTTTGAGGTGTGAAATCATGCACTGGAACTCATAGCTAAAAAGGCTTAGTTTTTCTCTTATAAGTTTGTTGTCCAAACAAATATTCATATAAATTTCAGATTTTTGTTTTAGAATACACAAAATAAATCTGTCACTAGAATATTATGTTCCAAAATTACTCTTATTTAACTCTTTCAACACGGGCTCTGTCCCTGGGACCGACCTCATAATCATTTTGTGCTTGTTATAGTTTTAATGCTCTAACTTTTAAATTAGTAAGCATATGTTATGAAATTTGGCAGATTATCAGTAAACATTACAATGCTTTCATACTCAAAATATCAAATTTTTTTTATTAAGTCTTAAGGTTTGTTAAGCAATGTTTTTCTCATGCCTTTTTTTTTTTTAACATTTCTCTTGCAAAATCTTTATAATGTTCAGATAGTTATCAAACATTTCTTAAGAAAAAAACATTATATTTTATATGTTATTTTCACTTGTATCTCTGTATGGGTTCAGTAGATTTGACTGATCTTGTAACCACCAAAAAAAAGAGGAAATAAATATATATTATGCCTCTTTCATTTAAGAATGACAACAAATTATAACAGGAAAACACAAATGTTTAGACTAAATAGCTTAAATCTCATAACATTATACATTTATATATATATATATTTATTATTTTTATTATATTGACCTTTCAGGCATGCCTGGCTAACATTACAGAAGTCACAATGACGAGGCACACGTGCTCTCATGTTACCGTATCCAATAATATAAAACTGACCTTTAGCCTTCACAAAGTGACCTATCTTGGCTATGTTTTAGTAGACTAGTATTTTTTAAAATACAGTCACATTTCAATTAATATACATATGTTTATATAGATTATTGCTATTTCGAAATAAGTTCTTAAACTTATTTTTCTTAAAACAGAACAGTAAAGAAAGAAGTAAAGGAAACAATTATCTCTTCTAGTTACAACCTTTGTACTCAGTTGCTGCTTGATATAGGTTTCTAAGCCTTAAAATGTTTTTAGGTTATTTTGAATAACCAAAAAATCATAAATTACTATATCGATACCATAAAATCCCACTATAATTTATCAAGCTTAGTAACCAAGCTGTATTTGGGTCTAAAAAAATATGAAATTTCAAGCAGACTAAAGACACAATTTATCTCCTCGAAATCTTAGTTCGAAAGAACAAGATGGCATCATAACATTTTAAAATGGCTGAGAAAGCCACTAGGGGGACATTTTGAGCTTTCGATTGGTTATTCACATGTCATATATTGAAGTAAGTGTATATAAGGGACTGTTTCCAAAATTGGAAAGAAGTGAGTAGGGGCCACCGTGTTTGATTCAGTACATGAGTGATATCTTGGCAAATAGAAAAGATATTAGGTTTTTATTTTATATTCTAGCTTGTCAATATTGGTAATTTGAGTTCCTAATTCATATGAAACTATAGACTTAGTATTTTGACATCGCAAACATCTAATTTGAACCAGTGTTGCATTCAAAATACCAAGTGACACACAAAAATCGATGTTCAACTGCTTTTAAGAAATTAAATAATGTGTAATAGTAACATTTGAATTATAATCTACAGTTTGATACCAAACTTATTGACATAAATTCATGAAATAGTAGGTTAATAAAATTTTGAAAGCAAGTCAACAAACGTGATGACATGGCCTTTGACCCGTGACCCGTCTGGAAAGGGTTAACTGGCTAAGTTATAAATAGGATAAAAAAAAAGTCACGATACTGTTATGAGCAACAACTTCCTTTTGACAAATACCTGTTGCTTCCAAACTTAAATGGATGGTTGCAAGCTTAAAATGAAAAAAACAACTTTCTGTTGGTTATAAATGTGTATCCAAGAAGAACACATTTTATGTAAACTACCTTGAAAGTTATGGATGGATTGGCAGGATTCTATCATGGGTTGGAGAAATTAGAATTGAGAATGCCTTTAAAGAAATTAAAACATAGGTAATATAAAACTTTGGGTTGTAAAATACATTATGATGCCAAATTTATTTATATATATATATATTAGTAATAAGGTTGTTTAAATGAAAGTTGAATATAACTGTTAAATGTTGTGACATGCACCAGGTGACCAACCAGCTGACATAGGGTGAAAGGACAATTCAAACTGTGACTATTCTGGACATTTTAAATTTTTAGATGCTATAGAAACTAGTATTTGCCTTATAATTTAAGCATAACTGAAACAACAATAGTTTATCTTGTTTTTTTTCAGAAAGTATAAAAGAAAGTTATGATGTATTGAAAACAAGAACAAATCTCTCATGAAATTACCCATTTTGGCATGTAATGTGTAAGCATATAATGCTATAATTTGTTACATGTAAACAGAAATCCATGATTTGTATAGCAAAGTGCATATTTACTCAATTCCTAAAAATTTTACTGCTCTCATTAAAAAGGTCATATTACAACAACCACTGAATACCTTTACAATGATAATGCTATTTTCTTGAATGAATGTTGATATAATATTAGTAAATTACTCTTGTATGAACAGTATAATTCAACACAGCTCAGTGTAAGTACCATACTTTTATTCCAGAGTCAAATTTCAGACTGTCTTTAACATCTTAATATTCTGATTTTACTTTATTTTTCTTTTAATTGGGAGTTATGTATCCACTTAGCTCTTTGTATATTTAGAGCCACATCTGTGTAAAAGTAGTATTTTAGATCTGTCTTTAGTCTGCCACTAGGTAGTATCCAGGAAGCATCTCATTCAATGTAATGTTTAATAAAAACTTGCCAAATTTCATGAGGATATGCTTAATCCATTAAGTTAAGGTATTTGTTTCTTGGTTACGTGATGGTTGCAAGGTTGTTCAAAAACGTCATTTAGAGAGGGTTAATAAACAAATGAAACAGTGAATCATAAGAGTGTAAAATTCTTGAAATTTGTTTTGTGATTTTGCCTAATTCTAAAGGAGGAGCAGGAAAGGATTCAAGCCAATATAAAAAAGATAGATGAAAAAGAAAAGAGCAGAAAGAATGCTGGAGATATAAATGGACAAACTAAAGTTAAAAAAGAAAGAAGTTCTGACAGATCAGATAGGTAAGGCAGATTGATTACATTTTTATTATATCTACAAGGAACTTAAGTTTCTTAAATGGAATGCTGCAACTATACTTGACACATAGCAGTGTTCAAAGCTTCAGAATTGTTTTCATTTTATTAGTAGATGATTCCTCACTCATATATATTAAGTTTTACAAAGTGCTCTCTCATCAGTTTAAATACCTTGTACCTTTATTTTAATGTATACTGAAAGATATTTCACTCTAAGTTAGTTTTTTTCTGTATACCATAGTTAATACTTTACTTTGGATTGTGTTATAATGATATCATCAATTTTATACCAATATGGAAGAAATTATATAATTTATGCATTATAAGTGTTATCCAAAGCAAACCAAATAAATACTGATTGAAGAGTTTTTGTCTAAATTGTATTTTATTTAAAGTCCTTTTAATTTTTCATATTTAAATCTGCATTGCAGGGATAGCCCTAAACCATCATCAAAAGATAAGGAGTCAAAACCTGAGAAAAAACGACGTTCGTCTTCTGCCGACAGCCATGATGATAAAGATACAAAGCCAAAAAATGCCACACGAGGCCGATCTCGTTCATCATCTCCACAAGCGAGGAGACGAAGAGAAAGGTTATTATTTGCTTAAAATTAATTTTTGATATGAACTCTGTGTTTTAACTTTTTCCAGTCCATTAATATTGTAAAAGCCACTCTTATAGTTAATATTCATAAAAATTAGTAACTTGTAGTCAAAATTACATTTGTAGCACGGAATGTAAAACTAAAGAATGATAACCATTAAATATTTTTATTGTAAATTAGATTTGTTTGGGTAAGTTTACAGTTTGTAAGGAAATGAAAACCACTACATGATATCATTGTATGCTTTGTATTTTCATAATATTACCATAACTGCTGACTTAAGCCAGGTTTTGGCATATGCTTATTGGCCTCCCAGTGAACTTATAAAGCCTATAAAATGAAAATTTTTCAACCAACCCGAACCACATGTGTATTTACTTTTGTGTTTTAATAAAAACAAAGTTAGAAACAGGACTTTGTATAAAAGAAGCTTGTATATTGTTAAAACTAATGTAAGTGGAACATTTATTTTATAATATTGATAGAAGTTACCTCAGTATTTACTGTCTTTAGAAAGTATGTACATTTGTTTCGAAAAAAGAATGCCCACCCCTTTCCCTTCTTCTGCTAATATCTAAGTTCTTGCCAAAGTCCAGGGTAAGACTATGGTGTGAAATTAAGTTACATGGGGCTTTTTAAAACTGTAGAGCAATTGCCAGATAAATTATTTCAACAAAATAATCAAATAAGCAGGAATGCCAATAAAATTAATTTACCTTTACATGGTAAAGAAAAGATACAAAGCTATGATATAGTTAGTTCTTTTTAAAGAAATACAAACAATAAAAGAGTCTAATATAATAACAACAGCTTCGACATTGACAAGTCATATATTAAAAGAAAAAAACTGTATGCCAAACAGATTGTATGGAAGAAAATGAACCTAGTTTACAGATGAAACATTTATGGTTTTCTGAGCTTTAGAGGTTTGGAATTTATATACAACCACTTGAACTTTGTGTGCCCCCCCCCCCCCCAAAAAACCAATAAACAAATCTTCAAATTCATTTATTGCAGACTATTTGAACTAGAAAAAAGTTTTATCTTTGCAGATTTGAAGCTTAAATGTTTTTACTCCTGAAATTTTGAGGTAAAAATGAATCGAAATCAACTGAATAATTTCAAAGCTGATTTCTGTTTAACAAGCTGAGGTACCTGTCTTTTGTTCGGGTTACGAACTTAAAAAGATGTTGGGGTGGATGCTATGATAAATAACACAAAAATCCTAACTTTCACACAAATTATTTACAATATATTATTACAGTATTCATTATTGCCTCTCAAATGTATTGTATAAGCTATAAGAACTCACTGTGTATATGCTTAAAACATGGTATACACTGTGCAATGGTCAGGGTGACTTTGTAGGAAGAGGTAGCAACTAAAGTAGTAACTGTAGGCATGATTTCTGTTATCCACTTTCAACACTCACATTATGCTATTGATTTACATTACCCACGAGCTGCTCACATGCATGCTTCATGAACCATTTTAATTATATTATTATTACTTATTTTACCTAATCTAGTCTTAAATAACTTAAAAATATCCCTATTTTTACATACGAGTTACTTTTATAATAATAAATAAAGAATATACATGAAAAAAGAAAGTACTTTTTCTTGCTGTAGATTGTTGATGACACTTAACCTTACCTTTTTTATACTAATGGTAGTAATGCACTAAAGTTTTATTTAATTAAATAATGCGCCTAAGAACATAGACTAATAACATGCAAAAAGTAGACATATTCACTTCTAAAAAAAGTAAACAATTTCTCATAACTCTCAATTTTTCTGGTTTTCTAACTGTATGACAAGAGCTGTTACAAATTCATGAAAGCTAGTAATTAACTTTTTCACGGGAATGTATCTTGTACTGTTAGTGAAATTAACGATATTCTGTTCAGAACACAATGATATACAGTATGTCATTTGATAGATGAAAACCTTGGCTTTCTATTGGTTATAGGTAATATATGATTAAGCATAAGAGAGAATTATTAACAAATCCTGAAAGAGAGGATGTGGCAGGAGGGGTGTGATTTTCTATTTTATAGCTCTGTAACCAAACAAAATTGAAGGCTTAAAAGATTATGGTTTGTCTGAGCAATGACAATTTTATAGTGAGCAATTTACATTTAATTTCATACTTTTTGGAGGGGTAGTGGACAAAATAGAGAAAAGAAGATGCCTAGAGAAAATGTCATACTAGGGGAAATTCAGGATTTTTTAAAATATTGCCTTGTAGAACTTGTATACTATTAAAATATGGATTATTAGCTAAGATTTTATGCTATACTAATTGGTATAACGTAAACAAAATGTAATTTAATAAAATGTTGAATGTAAGACACTAAAACCATGTGTCATCTGCAGTAAAGTTTACCAGTGGCGATAGTGTGTAAATGTGTAAATTATTTTGGTTCTCTCTTCATAGGTCACATAGTCATTCCTCACGGCATCGATCAAAATCACCTAAACATAGATCACGAACCCCAAGAAAGAGAACATCCCCAAGTCCAAGAAAAAGAACATCCCCAAGTCCAAGAAAGAGAACATCCCCAAGTCCAAGAAAGAGAACATCCCCAAGTCCAAGAAGAGAACATCCCCAAGTCCAAGAAGAAGAACATCCCCAAGTCCAAGAAGAAGAACATCCCCAAGTCCAAGAAGAGAACATCCCCAAGTCCAAGAAGAGAACATCCCCAAGTCCAAGAAGGAGAACATCCCCAAGTCTAAGAAGACGATCACCACCAAGCCCTAGAAGAAGAACACCACCACCACCAAGTCCAAGAAGAAGATCACCAACCAAGTCCAAGAAGAAGATCACCAAGTCCGAGGAAGAGGTCACCACCAAGGAGATCTCCAATTAGACGCAGAAGCCCTCCTCGGAGGCCTACACCACCCCCACTCACCCGTAAGGAGTCTCCTCCTGCTAGGTAATAAATTTAGTTTTTAAATTACCTTTGTGTTTCTTTACATGTTTTTTACCTATACTTAGCAAAATAACTTTAAATGATATTGATGCCTAAAATATTTTTAATGTACATTAGTATTTGTAATGGTAAACAGCGTACCATATATCAAGTATAATCAATATATAAATGAGAGAAAGAGAAACTGAGCTGCAAGTCTGAAGCACATCTGTAGGAGTAGTTGAAACAGATTTGTACAATAACTTGCAGGAAGTGTAAGGGTTAAAAATCTGATCTGTAGCTTAAAAGCTAATATTTAAATTTGCCTTTTGATACTTGTTTAAGAGAAGTATCTTTATGTTCCTATGTCTTCCTTAGGTAAAAATGAAAACAGACTAAAAAGTTTCATAGTTTTTAATATCATTCTGACTATATGGATATTTTTAAATTTTTTTGTTGTAGTTTCATCATTATAACAATTACATGTTTTTCATTTTTTAATTGTTGATATTCTGTTTACTTCATCCATTTTGTAGGTTTTATATTTGTGATTTTCATTTGTTTCTGTTTGAGTTTTATGTAATTGTATAGACTAACATGACACATACACGTAACATCATACTAATGTTTACTTAGTAATTTGCTTTGTAGTCTGTTTTGATACAAAATTAAATGACTAATATGTAGTTTGGATTATATAATGCATTGAGTTGTTTCTGTGAAAAGATCCACAGTTAACTCTCAGTAATTTTGAAAAATATTCCCAATTGACTCACAATTAAAAAAAACAGTGCTAGGAAAAAAAAAATTTACAAATGTGTCCAAATTAAAAACCTGTCATTCATATACCAAATACTGATTGTGTGACTGAAATTTTAAACAAAATAAAGGGACATTTGTAAAAAGATAAATAAGTAATATATGCTTGTAGTGACCAAAAATATTAATCAAAGAGTCTGGGCATACCCCAGTGTTAACATGCCAAACTGTGTACCTGAGGGTCCATGATCAGTGTTCGGTGGCCACAAAATCATGCTCCAGATTTTGGACCATTTGTGCATTATATGAGTAATGGTCAAATCTCACTATTCAGTTGTAGCAGCCCAAAAGTTTTTGATGGGTGTTGTTGACTAGCTGCTTTCCTTTCAGTCTATCATTTATAACTAGAGACAGGTAATGCAGATGTCTGAAACAAATGAGCAATAAATATGAACGTGGAATTTTGAGCATATGACATTTTTCTGCTTATGAAGTCAGGATTTCTAGTAGTGATGATTTTGCAAATGCAAAATATTAAAAATAAATTGAGACAAAAGAATAAAAGAAAAATTTTGATACAAATTTGAAATAAAATTATAACAATTTTTTTAACCCATTCTTTACTGCCTCGGTGGATCACAACAACCACATGACCCCAAAGTAGCCATTGGAGTTTCCATACTATAGCTCTTAACATGTTTTGTGCATCTTCACAAAGTTTTTCAAGCTTTCAGAATACATTACAAGTATTTTGTAGACAAAATAATCAGAATTTCTAATTAAGTATTATTACTAAAAACTTTTCCATGAATTTATGGAGTCAATGTTGACTGTTCCCAGTGCAAGGTGATTTTTGTGTTAAGATTAAAAATACTTCATCTGAAAATTTTCAAATTTTATTTGGATAATCTCTAAAACCTTCTAAATAGGTATTAAACTTTTTTTTGGCAGAAAAACTAGTTATTTCCTCTACCCTAACTATATATGCCGTTTGTCAATTTGACAAACCTCACAACCAACTTTAAAGGTTGAAAAATGTGAAATAAAGTGAGTTTCTAACATTTTCACATCTATTTCCTATGTTTATTTTACTGTTAGCAGCTGAAGTAGAAACCTGCTGATCATAAAGCAATGAATCACTGATCCTGCTATTAGATTGTTCATGTGACACTGTAAATAGCAAATAAACTTGTGTGGAGCATTTACCAGAACTTTCCCACAGAGTTTATTGTAATCCCAGCTCTGAGAACATTGTGGGAGAGGATTTATCAGCTTATTTATAGTATGGTGGTTACAACAAGAGTTATCTAAAGTAATAAAAAGTCTGAGAAAACATAATATGGCTCTATACAAATTTTGAGCTGATACAATAAACTTGGTAGGTATTTGGATATTAGTTACCCTCCTGGGATGGTCAAAATTTAGGAGTATAGGTGTACAAGATGCATTGGTGCTATGAACATGTATACATATATACATTATTACTAGTTACTCATAAATGCTAAGTTTTAGTTATTTTTCTTAAAACATAAACAACAGATTAAAAATATATAAGAAAACTGATTTCTAGTACTTGCAATGGTACGAAATTAATATGTACGTGCACATTATACTTGCTGAGCTTTGTTTTTAATGGAAGGGGAAGACAAATTAATTTTGTACATTTCAAAGATGCATTTTAGAAAAAAAATTATCTATATGTGAGTTAAAAAAAATCTCATTATGTTCAGTGCAGTGACTTAATCAACAGACTTCAACATTTCCAGTCAAATTACAAGTTTCCCCTTCAAGTCAATTACAAACTACTGTCTGATATACATAGCATGGAATGTGCTCTTTCTGTTGGTTATAAACGTGTACTTAAATGAAGTGGGTGTGAGTAAACAAGAGGTTTTGAAAGATTGAAGTAGTAGGTGGATCTACTCTTGGAGATTTGCAAAATATATCAATATCTTGGCAAATCATAAAGTTGGGAGGTTCTCATTCTATATTCTAGCTTGCAGGTATCAGAATTTGTTAACCACAATAAATGTTGTATGGTAGGCGTAATAAAATATAATCTGAACATTGAGACAAGAAGACACACTACATCCACACAGAAAAGTATATTTGTCTTTTTTTAATATTTTCTTTTTCGAATTAAGAAATTAAAACATGTACTAAAATTTGAATTATAAACTACATTGTGATGCCAATTTTATTAACATACAATTATTATAAAATTGTTTAATTAAATTTTGAAAATAACTAAAATGGCATGACATGTTCCCATTTGACCTGTCCATAGAGAGATGGTTAAAGCCAAAACTAGATAGTATTTAAAAAATTTATCCAGAGTTTCATGCAATTTGGTTTAGTATTGTCACAGTGAGAAAGTATCGGTGACACCTTCCTAGTCACAAAATGGTTGATGCAATCCTAAAAGTCCTGTAATTTTCTTCTATAAATCCTGGGATTGCAACCCCTAGTTTTGGTTTTACTTTGTCAGTATTATTAATTAATTGACTTGTCAGCTTTAGATATAATAATCAGTTAAGTATTTTGGTCTCATTTTGATGATATCTTAAATTGGTGGATCTGTCTTCAGGTGTGTTGTATTTCAGTAAATTATAATGCATTTTGAATTTGATTTTTATTTCGTACAATATCTACAAGTTATTATTTTACGGTTATTTATTACAGAATTTTCTCAAGAACATATTTCTTTTACAGAAAAAAGCCATCACACTCATCTTCATCATCCTCATCTTCTTCAAGATCTTCTTCTCATTCTTCTCAGTCTCCTGTTAAAGATGACCCAAGAAAGAAAAGGATCAATTCAGTAGAAAATGAGAAAAGTAGCAAGGACAAAGTAAGAAAAGTTCTGAAAATTTTTTGCTTTTGATATAAATTTTAGTCTTCATGCCTTTCCTTTACACAGTTATTTTATGTGTAGTGCAGAATTTTATTAATTACTCGTTAGTTACAATTCTCTCTAGAATGGGTATAAAATTTTACTTTTTCAAGTCATAAAAAGAAAATTTTGTCTGTCTTTGGTAAAGCATTTGTATATATTATTTGATTTTTCAAATACAAATGATATATCATGGACATAACTACAGTTTTTGTATCAAGCATTTATCACTGTCAGCACTGTTAAAAGGCATCTGTTTATTTACTTCTATTTTAAACTACATTTTAGTGAAGAAGAATGTCATACACAACTACCAACAAGTACTCTAAATTCATTAAACTTTTTTTGTTTGTTTATGCTTCTGGTGTAAAACTGAACTTACTTGTAACAATCTCTTCCACCAATATTATTTGAATCAAGTTTTATTTTCACAAGTTATTACCCAAGCTAATTGATTTAGTGATGTCAGCCATAGAATCTGGTGAAGGTATGTTAGGACTTACCTTCATCTGAGAGGATTGAATTCGGGGATGAATTGAAAGAACTCAGAAAAAGTATGTTAAAATTGTACAGTGTTGTAATTTTAAAAATAAATTACAAAATTGACTCAAGACATGAGCAGATTATGCACTTGTTTTACTGAAAATGCTATAAGCAGCATATTTAAATAACAAAAATGCTCATTTTCATTGTAAACAGTCATTAACTGTTTTGTGATGACCATCCATTTAAACACTTTTCTCTGAAAGTCACTGAATTACATTCAAAATTTAATTAACTCTTCCAACATGGGGTCAGTCAATTTGATCTAGTTA